GGGGCCGCTCTGGAGGCCTCAGGCCTGGGGTGAGGAAGGACGGGGAGGCGGGTTGTGGGAAGGAGGAAGATGGCTGACTCTTCCCAGGCACGGGGAGTGCAGGATTTGCTTCCTATTCCTGCCGTGCCCGAGCGTTCTGCTGGCTGGGTGCGGGAGGGCGGGGGGCAGGGCAGGGCCTTGCGAAGCGGGACGTGAGGGGTCCCCTGCCAAGACGGTATTGTGTCGTTATTCCTTTGGAGGACGGTAGCCAGGCAAAGGTCGTCGCGTGGGAGGTGCTGGGGTACTCCAGCTCGAGCAGCAGAAGGCAGAGCCTTTCCTGGGCTGCAGATGGGCGGAGGTTGGGGTCACCCGCTCCGCGACGGGCCCCGACCTTGGCCGGGCACCCTGCCCCGCCGAGCCCAGCCAGCTGTGGCTGCAGCAGGCTGTGTCCGGCACTCGGGAAACAGCTGGCAGGGGCAGAGCCATGGAAAACCTGATATGGTGCAGGGTGTGGGTTTGCGCGCCCGGTGACGCAACTCGTCAGGCAAGTCTGGCGTTGGCCTTGCGACGGATGGGTCAGGGGCAGAGCCATGGAAAACCTGATGTGGTGCAGGGTGTGGGTTTGCGCACCCGCTGACAGAACTCGTCAGGCAAGTCCGGCGTTGGCCTTGGGTTAGGGTTGCAGCGGGGGTTTTCCACCCCAGACCCTAAGTGTGGGACTGGCCACGTATTCGAGAGTTCAAAGCTGGGGGGAAAAACGCCGTGTTTGGATCCGTGAGGCTGTTGGGAGCTTTGCTAGCTGGGAGCTGCGTGTGCTCTCTGCACAGTCAGGGACGCCGGCTTCGGAGCAAGCCTCGGTTGGAATAGGCCGGCACTGTGATTTCAGCTGTTTTCTGGTAAATTAAGTTTATTCTGGATTCAGCTTTTAGAGGATATTGATGTGGACTTATAACTGCCTGATGAGCTGATAAAGCCTGCCAGGAAAAGGTCATCCATGGAAAAAAATTGAGTAATGGGAGGGATGCCTCGTACAGCTTCCCCCGGTCATTTGGCCGCAGTGCTTTGAGCCTGTTCTAAGCCAGGGTTACTCTACAGCAAGCTCAGGCCTTTATTCTGGGATGAAAAACATCGGGAGGCAGATTAGCCACTTCAGCACTGCTACCTGGTTCTTTGCACACATAGTTTAATTCTTCAAAACACAGAGTCAAGTGTTGCTGCTGTCCTGAGGCTGTTTTTCCCCATTTGAGCTGCAGGCCAGGAATTGTGTTAAGCTGCAGAGCGCTGGCAGATCTGATGGAGCAATTCCTTTCTCTCTGCACTCCAAATGGGATGGCTGGAGAGATTTATTCATCTAATACCCAGCCGGAGCAGTTCCTGGTGACGCCTTCAGCTGTGAAAGGGAGCATGAGTGTCATAGGGCAGGGACAGGGGCTGGAGAACCTGTCTGAACTGCCACCTGTGACTGCAGTGGCTCCTCTCTTCTGGCACCACATGCAGAAATACCCTGGGAACAGAAGAGGTCCCTTCCAACCCCTGTCATTCTGTGAATCTCTGAAAAGAGCATTTGCAGGTTGCACAGTGGGGTTAGCCTTTGGCAGGGCTCTACTCTTTATATTTCCAGTGATGTTTGAGCTGGATGAAGAAATTGGAATCTTATAGTCAGCATTCAACATGACATTTCTGTTGCAATTTGATATTGCAGGAACACTTGCCTTCAATCCAGTACACGCATCCTTTCCTTGTGTTTTGGTTTCTTTCTGCCAGCTCATTTGCACTCAGAATTTTTCTGCCTCTCACCCCCTTTTCCTTGTTTATTGAGCTTTCTTTGGCCCTCTAATTGACTTGCTAAACCAGCCTGTCCAATATTCCTGCATCTGTGTACAAACCAACTGAATGGTAAAGTGCATCAGAACAGCTATGAAATCTGAAGCCATTATTTAGTGTCTGACTAAAGCAAATAAAAAAGTTGGCTTTATATTTCTGTAAAAGATTAGAGAAGAGGAAAGATGACTTTTCTGAGGTCTAGGTCATAATTTAACCATTGAAATCTATAATTACATGAAAGAAAGCAAACTACACACTAATAATTTTCCATACATTCCCTGATTGCACGGGCTGTAGTAACGTACAGATGACCTGGGGAGTGCTCGGGAGTGCCTGTGTGTAACACATCTATGGCAAATGTCCTACTGAGAGTTAACTTGCCCAAACATCACCCTTCGATGCTATGCCAGATTTGTCAGAGTCATGTGAAGCATGAGCTAAGACACTCCTGTTCTTGCACAACTGTCTGGGCTCATTGATGGCAGCTATAAGCACCAGGAGCAGGGTTAGGGAGAGATGTTGTCAGCTGCTGGCATCACTGCTTCTACTTAAGGGCTTTAATGCAAGAACCTCAGCTCATGCTGTGTTGAAGTTGAGTTGCAGGGAAATGAACCTTGTCCGAGTACTTGACATCCTGTCCCCTGACTGGGAATACCGGAAAATACTTTGGGTGTGTTCATGTGTAGGACCTGTGCATGAAAACAAAATTATGAGCAGAAAAAATAAACCCTGGGGAGATGGCAAATAAGCTTTTTCTGTTTGGGTTTTTTTTTTTGAGGGCTTTAACAGTCAGTTGAAACCGCAGTCCTACAGGGAATTACACATTGCACCAGATCGAGGAGAAGTTGAATACAACGGCTTTTAAGAAAGAGGGAAAATAATTCTCCTGTCCCGGTCCTCAAGCAAGGTTGTCCTTTGCGTGCTCATCTACACCGTGATGTTGTCTCTGCCTCCCAGGGAGGATCTCTGAAGGCTGTTAGGACTGTGCAGGCACCCTCACCCACATTCACCCTCAGGCTTTCACCTGGCAAGGTCAAAGCCATGTGTTTTGAAGGGCATCAGAATCAAGTCCATTTTCTTCGCTTCTAGGGCAACATTGTCTACTTCTCCGTGTAGCCTCGGCCGGGCTGTCACATGAACCATAGAAATGATATTTCTTAAATTACTAGTGCTAATCATCAGCTTGTGCACCACATCCCTATTTCAGACAGGGCGGACACCCCGGCCCTATGCGGTTGCAAGCCAGCCTTTGTCCGTTGGGTACAAAGCAGGACTGGAAACTCCAGGATGCTGCTCTGGGCGTTCTGTAGGGCTGTTCAGGTGTTGCTTTGAGGCCTCAGGGAAATCAGGTGGTTACTTAACCAGCCCCATTAAATGGCAAGGGTGGGTATATTCTATTAATTATTTGCTAGAAAACTAACACTCCCTCTGTTTTACTACAGTTGTCTAACTGCCTGGGGACTCAGACAATAAGGGGTTGACCAAACACCAGAGCGATGGTGAGTGTGTGTTTTCGGTGCCGTGCTGTGCCAAGCGTTTGCTCTCATCAGATGAACGTGGGGAGTGTAGCTCAGATAAGGACACGGCAGGAAGAACACTCTCACTGTCCGTCCCTTTACGAGGGGCGAGTTTATCACTTCTCTCTGCTGCCTCATGCTAGAGGAGAATGACCCACACATACAGGCTTTTCCACTCTGGGAGTTAATGGGAAAGTCGATCAGATATTAGTTCCGAGGGTATGAATTTCTCCAGGTAAACATCCTGGGCATATTATTACTTTCAGGTTCAACCTGCAAGGTAGCAGTCTGTACGGTCGTTATCCCTGTGCCTGTCTCAGAAGGTCTGACCTACACAAATGTCAAGCAGTGTGTTGCTGATGATTCTCCTCGGAACAGGGAGAGCTCTGTAAGAGATGGTGTAGTCCCACAGAAATGACACTGGACAGGAGGCAGGAGAAACCTGTTTGTGAATCACTGTTTTGAGCAAAACGCTGCACTTCCTGATGCATTATTTTACAGAATGATGGTCCTTGGCTGCTCTTAGAGATGTCAGGAACAGGGCTTTGGGAACGGCTTCTTCTGTGACTTACATGGAAAACTGCTGTGAAGCAGCCCCAGCTGTGCTCAACATAGATGTCAGGCTGCCTGCTCGTTTGTTTAATTGGAAACCAGATACTCCATGGGAGCTATATGAAGATACTTTCTTCTTTTAGTTGTGTCCCTTTGGCTTATTTCTTGTGTAGCTGGGAGGTCCCTCTAGAACAAACTGTTTCCTTTAGGGTAGGATGGAAGCCAGCTATAAAATCACTCATTTGGTGGGTGGACTTCACTTGCTATCATGGTGTTTGCATTTTTTTAATTTCATTTTTTTAATTCAGCTCTGCTGTATGTATGTATCACTTTGAGCCTGCCTTTGATAACTCCTCTTCTGTGGGTTTAGGCAACCATCAAGGGGGTCTCGGCTTTCAGTGCTGAGCAAGAAGCACAGGCACTAAGGAAGGCTATGAAGGGATTTGGTAAGTTGGGCTCCCTCCACTGTTAAACCCTCTTTTCACCCTGAGCATTGGGAAAGTTTTGTCTGGCGGTTTGTTAGAGCAGAAGTCTACCATTTGCATCGCTCCACTGCCCTGTGAGGGCACTGAAAGGAATCAAGCGATTTGATCAGGCTGAGACTTGAACCCAACTTGAAATCCAAGTCTTGGCCACAAAAAACATCCTTAGTCAGGCTCGTCTTGTCTTTCCTGTGGTGTGGTACTGCCATGCCGCTGCCTGGGTTGAGGCACTTCTGTACACTGACCTCATCCCCAGGTGCTGTTGAGAGCCAGGTTGTGTAAGGAACAGAAGATGGCTAATGACACACTCTGGACAAGACCAGAGCGTGCTCCTGGTTCTCGTGCAGGAAGCCTGACGGGTTTCCATTGGTTTCTTCCAGGCACAGATGAAGATGCCATCATCGAGACCTTGACCAAACTGAACGTTTCCCAACGTCAGCAAGTTCTGATCACCTATAAAAGCAGTATTGGCAGGGTAGGTGGTCTTCAGAGATGAGTGACTGTGGCTCTAGCTGGGAGATGCAGACAATTTTTGGGTTATATCACTTGGGTGAGATGTGAACAACATCCTGTTCTCCACGACAGTAAGGTTAGCACAAGCTTTCCCTGGCGAAGTTTATTTTGGTCTTGCTCACTTCAGAGCAACTGTTCATCCAAGGAGGGTTGGAGCATGCAGAAAAGTGGTGAATGAGTTCTTTCTGTTCTCAAAGGCTGTATCTTCCTCCAACTCCTTTCTCCTCTCTCTGTCTTCTAGGATTTGATTGGTGACTTGAAGTCTGAGCTGAGTGGGAATTTTGAAAGGGTGATCGTTGGCATGATGACTCCCACCACCATGTACGATGTGCATGAACTGAGAAGGGCTATGAAGGTTTGGAAATCTTCCTTTTATGTTGCTTAAGTTCTAGCTAATTTAGTATGATGTGGCATAATTATACATTTATTACTAATTTATCAGCTTACATACAATTAAACAAATCCTAGCTGCACATCCAAGCAGTTGTCGTTATCATCTTGGATCTGTGACTTTGCAATTCCCTAGGGTGCAGGAACAGATGAAGGTTGCCTGATTGAAATCCTGGCTTCTCGCACAAACGAAGAGATTCGGCGCATTAATGAGAACTACAAACTTCGTATGTAGTGCGAACTGCAAGCCCTTATCATGCTGTCTGAAAAGCCACTTGTGTATATGCATGGCCATGTGAAGAGGAAGGAGAGGGGTCTGTAAGCCTTTAAATGTGACAAATCAGACAATACAACTGTTGCCGTTTGTCCAGAGAGAACCTCCAAGTTAAACACGTGTCAAGAGCAGGATGCTAACAGCCTCAAGGGCTAGAATTTCACGCAGAAATTGAATGGGTGTAAATAAAACAGGATGGGGTGCTTATGTCCACCAGTTGGACGTCTGTCCATGTGTGGATCAGTTCTATACTGGCTGTGCTGCTGAATTTTGGCCTGCAGCACTAAATACGATGGTTGGACTGCAGTGATGATGTGTAGAGCCCTGAGCACACGTAGATACTTACCTAGCTTACGGCTGGCAAATGCTGTAGATGGTGACCAGACAGTGGACCTGCTACTAACAGATGTCATGTGTGTGTGCTCTTGCTAGAATATGGCTGTACCCTCGAGGAGGACATTGTCTCTGACACATCTTCCATGTTTCGAAGAGTCCTTGTGTCCCTCGCGACAGTAAGTCTGGGCTAAGGGAAATGGGGTGATTTTGCCTGTTGCTGATGGATGTACCTCTTGCTTCAGTGATGAGGTGTTTCAGGCTGCTTGTGTTTCCTTGATCTTGCATTTCACACTCAGCTTCTGCAGGAGGGAGTCTGGCTCTGGGTGGGCATCAATGCTATGTGCTCTTCTTAAAGGGGTGCAGCTAAAGTGGATTGCTGCTTATTTCAGAAGGAAGTACAAATCACATCTGAGCCACAGTTTGCTGTATTTGTAAGCTACTCTTCCATTTTAAGGATCCCAGTTTGCATCCCCAGTAACTTGTTTTGGATGGGGAATTTGCAGGACTTGCTTCCATTAGCTGCTCTGGTGAAACGAGTACCTCTCCCTTGTACCTCTGCAGGGAAACAGAGATGAGGGAACGTATGTGGATGATGCCCTTGCTCAGCAAGATGCTCAGGTGCGTAGCAATTTGCCTCCTTGCAAGAATTCTTGGCCATGCGATGCGTGGTGAACGTCTGCTTTTTCTAGACCTGGGTTTTTTTCAAGGTGGAACAGTCACCCTGAAGCTGTGCTAGACAGCAACATCCTAGGTGGAGACCTGGGCTCTACTCTCAGGTTTGACCCTTAGAGGAACCTCTTCCCTGTTCTGACTCAACCGGTGAAATGGGGATAATGGTTCTTCCAGCCTCCTTTGCAGCTCTCTGGGGAGAGGTCTCTAGACATGCTGGGTATTTGGGAGGGAAGATGATATTTCAGTTGAGAGTTGCTGTGCTTGGTTAGTACTGGAAAATGTTAGTAGCTGGCAAATGTCTGTGATCTAGACAAGCCGCAGGCCAGCAGCGCTCAAGCACCAGGGAAGTAAAAATCTCATGTTATGTACACCCAGTCTTCTCAATTAACCTTACTTCGTCTGTTCATGGTGTCTTCAAGTGCCTGTATGAAGCTGGGGAGAAGAAGTGGGGAACAGATGAGGTACAATTTATGGCCATCCTCTGCACACGGAACAGATACCACCTGCTGAGAGGTAGGACCCTCCATGATGTCCTGGATCTTTACTTGTCTGCAGACAATACTTCTGTAGGAGCTTCATAGGTGTTCATTAACCGACTGTGACCTCTTCCTGAGACACCAGGTATCCTAGAGCCCAGTCACATTCAGTTCTTTGAGACTGTTTTATTTCCTCCTGAGACAAAAAGAGACTTGAGAAAAACATCAGTACAACTCGCTCCAGTCTGTAAATCGGAGATAATGAAGTGTGACTCCCACTGGGCAGCGAGGGAAAGAAGCTAAGCATTTAAACTGCCATCATTAACTAGCAGTTCTTGAAAACGCTAGCAGCAGTGGTGGGCCAATTAGCAAGACAGTTGCTAATTAAAATGAATTATTTCTGTGGGGCAGCCCTGATTTAGCTTACAATGCCACAGTAATGGTACAAGGCTCATGCCAAGTACAAGGAGCTTGATCTTGCAAAGTGATCCTTGGTGGTTTACAACTGTATGCCCCGAAGCAGCTCACTCGGTCTTTATCCCTGACTCTTCCTCTTAGTTTTTGATGCATACAGAGGGATTGCTAATAAGGACATAACCAACAGCATTAAATCTGAGATGTCAGGAGACCTCGAAGATGCTTTGTTAGCTGTGGGTGAGTACCCTGCTTTTAAGCTTTGCCTACAGAGTGATTAAATAGTGATATTGTATCTTGCCCTGGCTGGCTGGCTCCAGTATCTTCAGGAGGATGATACTGTTTGCAATCCACAAGTGTGTTGCTTTTTGCAGATACCATCAGGTGAGAAAGCTCTGTGCTTTATGATATTGTTTGCTTTCCAAAGTGATGTTTTGGTAGCTGACATTAGCTGTCAAGAAGCATTAAAGCCTTAAAGAAAATATTAGTGGGCAGCGGGCGTGGAGACATCAGTTTTCAGCAGGTCACCGACTATGGGTGTCTGCATTGTGCTTGTTGTCTGTTGGCCCTGAGTTGCACCTTTACAGAATAAACACCTTCACTGAGAAAGTGCTGTAAAGGTTTGGCAGATCTTCTCGTTCTGGTTTTATTGACCTTAGTTCTCTTGATCTTCTCTCCCTTACAGTAAAGTGTGTGCGAAATAAACCTGCATATTTTGCTGAAAGACTGTATAAATCCATGAAGGTAAAGAGCTGTTGGAGTGAGATTGCTATTTTTTTTTCCCTTGCTTTTCCTTGCTGGAGTCAGTAGCATGACAGCACACATTAGATAAACTCTGCCATTATTTGGGGGGAGAGGGAGGGAAGTCTGAGCTTTTATAGTCCCTGTACTCTGCTCCTTTGAGCCCCCACCTTGAGTGCTGCATCCAGCTGTGGAGCCCTCAACATCAGAAGGATATAGACCGGTTGGAGAGAGTCCAGAGGAGGCCACGAAGATGCTCCAAGGGCTGGAGCACCTCTGCTATGGGGACAGGCTGGGAGAGTTGGGCTTGTTCAGCCTGGAGAAGAGAAGGCTCCGGGGAGAACTTATTGCAGCCTTCCAGTGCCTGAAGGGGCTACAGGGAAGCTGGGGGGGACTTTTTACAAGGGCCTGTAGGGACAGGACAAGGGGTAATGGGGTTAAATTGAAAGTGGGGAGATTTAGATTGGACATCAGGAAGAAATTCTTCCCAGAGAGGGTGGGGAGGCACTGGGACAGGTTGCCCAGAGAAGCTGTGGATGGCCCATCCCTGGAAGTGTCCAAGGCCAGGCTGGATGAGGCTTGGAGCAACCTGGTCTAGTGGAAGGTGTCCCTGCCCATGGCAGGGGGGTTGGAACTAGATGGTCTTTAAGGTCCCTTCCAACCCAAACCATTCTGTGTTTCTGTGTTATTGACCTCTTTTCCCTCAGGAAGCTCAGAGCTGCTAGTAGGTCACTCCACTAGTGCAAAAATGCTCTGATTAGGAACAGATACCACAAAAGACCAAGTGATAAAACCTTTATGTCTGTCACTGATTTATCCCAAAAGCTTTGTGGTTGTACATGGTTGGTTTATTTCTTTAGGGCTTGGGAACAGATGACAACACGCTGATCCGAGTGATGGTGTCCCGCTCTGAAATAGATATGCTGGATATCAGAAGGGAATTCCTGACCATGTATGGGAAATCACTCTACTCCTTCATTAAGGTAAGCTTTTCAGCGTTAGAAACAGAGCTGGATTTGCTAAGCAGCATAAAGGAGACAGGTCGCCACTGGACACCTATTGGGTGTTTTAGAGGAGGTGGAATTAAGGAGACTTTACATTTATGTACTGAAAATGTTCCTGAATGTTCTTAAATTGTCAAAGAGGATAGAAACCCTACAACAAATTGTACATGCTGGAAAGAATCCAGCCTAGTATGGAGCTGTAAAACTAGTTACGTTCCTTTTTTCTCCCTAGGGAGACTGCTCAGGAGACTACAGGAAGGTCCTGCTCAGACTCTGTGGTGGGGAGGACTGAAGGAGGCCTGGTGTATTGCCTGGGTGATGGGAAGCAGCTGATCATAAGGATTTCTTTCTTTTTATTTTTTTTCCCAAATATCTTATTAATTGCTGTGAGTGTTGACTTAGGTTAATTAGAACGGCCATTCTGGTTGACCCTTTTGATACGCGTTTATGCTTGGAACACCCATTTGTCTGCTAATTGGGCTAGTAAAGTCCATCTTAAACAGAATGCTGTAACCAAATATATAAAAGCTAAATTGTTTCCTGACAAGCTGTACCTTTGCTGTTGCATTCACCAACAAAACTTATCAACTGAAGCAAACTTGGATGCAGAATGTGAGAAGCTGTACAGGGAAAAATTAACCTCATCAATACATGGGGAGTGCAGAATTCATGTTTGCTTCGGGTTTTGCAGGAAACACAAAGAAATCATCTAAAATACAAGCACGTTTAGAACTTAACTTGCCCTCTGTTAGTGTGGAGCATTAACAGCCTTGCTGCACTTTATGTGTATGTTGCCTATAGATCTGTAGGTAGGGAAGATGTCACTGGTGACATCAGAAAAAACTCTTGCCGCCCTCATTACAGGCCAGCCCTGTATTCTTGGTCTGTCCTTGACTCATGGGAGCATAAATCATTAGGGTTATATTACAAACCCTTCCTCTGGATAACGTGATGTCGTTAGAATGGTGCCTTTTAAGGAATGCCCAGTCTCCAAAAACGCACCTCGTCAGCACTACCTGATGCCTTAGACTGGGATGCCTCGTACTGTGGTAGTTCACCACGTCTCACCAGCGCTGGCTGGTTGGAGCCGTGTGTAACACTACCATTAGAGGGTCCACTTCTTGTGCCTGTGCCTGCCTTGGACTTCCACACCAACCTCCGAAAGAGACTTTTCCCCCAGACCCTACGCAACTGCCTGTTAAGCTGAGTGTTGTTTTACCTACAAAAATGTGGTTCTTCTTTGGCTTAGCAATTTTATTTTTTTACCTGCTGGTATATAGTTCTCTTTTGAAGGCATCAGGCTAAGGTTAGAATTTGAGTGCACAAACACCAAGATGGCCTACACCCAATTCTGTCACTGATTTTCTTCTAAGTTAGGCTAGTGTTGGCTTGAATGGGAGATACTTCTGTGGCCTCAAATAAAATAATTTTCTTTCTTGCTCTCTGTCCTGTAATTGGAGATACATTCCTTCGTTTTGGTGGGAGAGGAGGCAGAGCATTCTACTGAAGCTCTGCTCAGTGAAAGAAAAATTGTCTTACCCAGCACAACAGGCTAACAGATGCACTCAGGCTTGGTTTTATGTTTAAATGCCTCGTGTTATGTTGCTGACTTTTAAAAAATGAATAAACGATTAATTTCTGTACCTCTGGCCGTGATTGTGTATTCTGGGAGAGGTAGTGTGAAATAACTGTGTCCTTGTTTTTTCAACAACTTCTGTGTGCCGCCGGTGCTTTCTCTCCTAAGCATGGAGTTCCGGGGGCAGGTGCCTCCTGCTCCTTGAAAGAGGGAAATCCACTGCCTGTATCTCTGTGGATCCAGCACATGGCAATGCTGCAAATCCCCCTCTAACAGTGCTTTGGGAAATGGTTTATAAAATCCCGTGCCCGTGCTGTGTCTGGGGGAATCACCAGTGTGGGGGACAGATTTGGGGGGTGCGGCCCTGCACCCCTCAGCTGCTGCAGTTGCATCGCTGTTGCTGCTCCCACTTGCAGCTCAATAACCCGGAGGCAGTACCACTCGGTCATCCGCCACCAAACCAGCTGTGATGGTGCTGGGGCACTGCGGTGGGTGAGTTACGGCTTTCTCCCGCAGCACTGGAGGAAGCTTGACTAACCTGATCTCCTTCTGGGACAAGGTGACCTGCTTAGTGGATGAGGGAAAGGCTGTGCATGTTTTCTACCTGGATTTCAGTAAAGCCTTTGGCAGCATTCTCCTGGAGAAACTGGCTGCACATGGCTTGGATGGGAGCATTCTTCCCTGGGTAAAAAACTGGCTGCATGGCTGGGCCCAGGGCTGAATTGAAGTCCAGTCGGCAGCCGGTCACCGTGGAGTTTGTTCCCCAGGGCTCAGCGCTGGGGCCAGTTCTGGTCAATCTCTTTATCCCTGACCTGGGTGAGGGGATTGAGGGCACCCTCAGTCAGTTTGGGGATGACACTGAGTTGGGTGGGAGTGTTGATCTGCCCGAGGGCAGGACGGCTCTGCAGAGGGATTGGGACAGGCTGGATCCATGGGCCGTGGGCACTGTGTGAGGGTCAACAGGGCCAAGTGCCAGGTCCTGTCCTTGGGCCACAACAACCCCCTGCAGCGCTCCAGGCTTGGGGATGAGGGGCTGGAAAGCTGCCTGGTGGGAAAAGAGCTGGGGTTGTTGGTGGACAGCATCTGGATATGAGCTGGCGTGTGAAGGCCAACGGCATCCTGGCCTGCGTCAGGGGACAGTGGGGGCGGTGGGACCAGGGCAGGGATCGTCCCCCTGTACTGGGCACTGGTGAGGCCCCATCTTGAATCCTGGGGTCAGTTTGGACCCTTCACAGCAAGACAGACACTGAGGGAGCGTATCTGGAGAAGGGAACGGAGCTGGGG